AATCTTATTTTAGAAGGACTAAAGGAGTTTTGTCCTTAAACAAAACCTGTAAGAACCACCTTCTGAAGATAAATTAAAAAGCTAAGGAGTTGATGATGCTAGTAGTTGCCCATATATTAGGTCAGTCAGCAGTCTCACATAAAATCTGGTGGGAATTTGAGCTGGTAGAGTTCTTTGAAAGGCAGTTTGGCAAGCTTATAGTTTTCCTTTTTTTTTTTTTTTTAAAGACAGGGTCTCTGCATGTAGTTCAGACTGGCCTTGAAATCAGGGTAGTCCTCTATCTTGGCCTCCTAAGTACTGGGATTACAAGCCTGTGCCCTCATGCCCAGTTAGGATTTTAATTTTAAATGTGCATAATTTTTTTACCTAGCAGTTCACATCTAGGACACTATCTTAAAGAAGCAGACTTAGGCACAAAAATATGTGGACAACAAGAATTGTTAAATTTTTCTGGCCTTGGGGCTGGGGATTTAGCTCAGTGGCATAAGCGCCTGCCTTGCAAGCAGGCAGTCGTGAGTTCCATCCCTGGTACCGATAAAAACGAAAAAGACAAAAAAAAAAAAAAAAAAAAATTTTTTTTTCTGGCCTCAGGATCCCTTTACCTTCTGAAAATTTATGGACACTCCCAAAGAGGCTTTCTTTGTTTTGTTGAGTTACAGCTACTAATATTTACAAGATAAGGAATTAAAACTGGAAAATATGTTAAACCCTTAAATATTGTTATCATAAAAGACATTGTTTCTGACAAATTACTGTATATCTATTTTGCAGAACAAAAATAATATATAAGAAGAATGCCATTGCTTGACGTTTTTGGAAATCTTAACAGAAAAGAGCTGAATTCTCACATCTACTTCTGGTTTTAACCTGTTGTGCCGTGTCATTCTGGTTGAAGTTTGTGAAGATACGTAGCCGTAAGAGGGAGAAATATTTTAATAGCCTTTTCAGATAGTTTTAGATTTTTGATAGTACACCAAACTCCACCAGTAGCAGTTTTCTTAAATGAGTCTGGAACCATTCATAGGACCTTTTCACACTCTCTTATGTACATTAAAATACACTGGTTTAGCTTTTACTTTGAATGAATCTTTATCATTTTATTCTGACTTTTGTGTCACCACACATTGGTCATCTGGAAAAGTTTACTTTAAAAATTTAAAAAGAAAATAATGGGTTTACTGAGTTAAGCATATCTCCCAAATATTGACACATTTCATCCTACATTTTAAAAAATTATTTAATACCACCTGTGATCTTGCTGGATGTGGTGGCACACACCTAGAATCCTAGCATTCCAGTGGCTGAGGCAGGAGGATCACCACAAGTTCAAGGCCAGCCTGAACTACATAGCAAGACTATCTCCAAACACCAAAAGAAAAGAATAACTATTAGGAAGCTGTCCAAAATTCTGATTTTTTTTTTTTTTAACTTGAAAGCTCAAATTTTATTATTGGCCACAAATTCCTAACGTCCTTTTCCTTAAAGTGACATGCTTACTTTGTTCATTTTCAAGACAGTATCTGTCTGCCAAATAATCAGGCGTGATTAGGGGCTGGGGATTTAGCTCAGCGGCATAAGCGCCTGCCTTGCAAGTGTGCAGTCGTGAGTTCGATCCCTGGTACCGATAAAAACGAAAAAGACAAAAAAAAAAAACCAATCAGGCGTGATTAGCTGTAGTTGGTTATTCAGTAGAAATATTGATTCAGGAAGCCACACATGGTGGCACACTCGTAATTCTGGCGCTCTGTCTGGATCATGAGTTCAAGCCCAGCCTAGGCAAGTTAGCCAAGACCCTGTCTCAGAACTTTAAAAAGAGGGCTGGGGTTGTAGCTTAGTTCAATTTCCGGGACTGCAGAAGAAGAGAAGGAGGGAGGAAACAGGCACTTCAACTCACAGCTGAGACTGCCCAACAAGTACTCACCCCACACACAGCAGGGGAGAGGGGCTGTCGGGAAGCGCTTCCCGACATGTCCCAGCCATGCATTTGTGAGAAGCCAGGCTTTCTTTGTACACTTCAACCAGACCAGCTCGCACACAGAACCAGATGTGAGAATCCAGTTATGTTCACTGTGTAAAGTACATATTCTCAATGGTCAAGGCATAATAAAATAATCTTTGCTTCATTAAGAACATTCCTGCTGGGGCTGGGGATTTAGCTCAGCGGCATAAGCACCTGCCTTGCAAGCAGGCGGTCGTGAGTTCGATCCCCGGTACCGATAAAAATGAAAAAGACAAAAAAAAAAAAAAAAAAAAAAAAGAACATTCCTGCTTTGCATGGCATTTCTGAGACTGAAGAATCCATTGCCTTTTGTATAGATTGGTGCCGTCACCTGGCCTTGATTTACTTCTGCCGTACCAGTTACACCCCCCCTTAGCACCGTGAAAAGGCGCAGAACTGCTTCCCCATCTTGCTTCTCTGAAAGGCTCTGGCAATGGGAGGAGGGTCTCAAGGGCTCACTGGCCAAACTCTAGATCTGTTAGTGCACAAGGATGTAAACTGCAGTGCTGTCTGAAAGTCACCAATGACAAATAATCGGAAAGCCCATTCCTGTGGAGAATGGATGAATAAACTCAGTGTATCCACAGAGAAATAACAGCCATTAGAAAGAACCACTACATATTCCTATATTTTAAGACACACTCTCTTCTTGTTTTTGTTTTTTGATGCTGGGATCAAACCCAGGTCCCCATGCATTCTCAGCACATGCTCTGCCACTGAACTACATCCCCCACCCCTAAGACACGTTTTTAAGGCAAATAAAGGCAAGTTGCAAACACAGTTAATTCGAGTAAATGTGACTACGTTAAATGTGCTTACAGTGCACTTCTGTGCGTGTCTAGCAGTTGATAATGCCAAAGTGGACAGGCATTGAAGGAAAGAGGGTAAGAAGTGTAAACCCAGCCCCTCCTGTATTCATCTGAGTTACTCTTTCCAATACATATTTTTTGTGTCGAAACTTTCAATGCCTCCAATAAGAATACAGTCATTTTTTCTTCACTGCGTGTCACTTAAAACTACCTTCTTAAAGCCTTTCTCTAGTTTTATGTTAATACCTAATTGTATGTATCCCAGAGCTTCACAGACGGCTTTTATCTGTCATGATGATGAAAACATCTAAACTTTTTCAGTTTTGCTATTAAACTTAGGTATATAATGATGTTAATTTGCTTAAGGGGACGTAAAGGGGTGATATCTGATTTTTATCCCTCACCTAAGTGGCTGAGCTTCTTTAAATTTCTCTAAGAAAATATGTCTTTATAATAATTTTGAAGTTGGACAATGTCAACAAAAGGCTAATTTTTTTTCACTCTAAAAGTATGGAAAAACTGAGTCTTTGTTTTTGCAAAAAGTTTATTTTGAGACTTTGAATTGAGACTATTAAATTCTAAAATAGATAACATTTGTTAGTTAAAGCCCTGGTTATTTGGATTTCCCCAATTTGGAATGGGGCTGGGCTGACATTTAATCATTGTACTATTCTTAGGGGGAAATGTTCATAATAAACAATTTAATCATAAATAGAATTGTGTAAGGGGACCGTTGTCCTCTTTCAATCCAGTGTTATAAAGTGAACTGCCCGAGACTGCTATTGAATATACCAATTTGAGTATTACTATTTATTAAGTTACAGAACATTTATTAGACAGCACTTAATTTCTTTTTGCTTTGGTATATCCTGGAAATTTGTACTCATTTAAGCACATTCTTTAAATTTAATTCACTCAAGCAAGCCTTTATTGTAGTCCTTCATTTAGCACAAATTAACAAGGTCACACGTTGTTATTTGGGAAGCTTTTCCAGAATAAGACCAAGGCTATTCAAGCTTTAAAACAAAAATCATTACAGTGTTCATAGAAGAAATATTATACATAGTTTCGGTTTTTTATGAATAAAAAATGAACTTTATATCACATGATTGTGGTGCTTCTTTTATTCTGTAACATTACATAAACTCTTATGTCTCAATCAATAGACATAGTGAGGGGCTGGGGATTTAGCTCAGTGGCATAAGCACCTGCCTTGTAAGCAGGCGGTCGTGAGTTCGATCCCTAGTACCGATAAAAAGTTTAAAAAAAAAAAAAAAAAAAAAAGAGCAAACAAAATCAATAGACATAGTGAGTTATTTTATAATATCTTGACCTTTACTTAAGGGAACAAGATTACTACTAGAGTAGTGTAAAGTCAGGTGCAGAATGGGGAACATTACGAGAACTGGATAAATTCAAGACTCCAGCATGATGGGAAGACCCTGGGTAATGAGTGGGTCCTGTTAGGTTTCTCATTTATCCAGTGTTTTTAGAGCATGCTCATTTCATTGATAAGTTTGCTATTATTTCCATCTTAGCAATAAAAAGACCCAAGGTCTTGATCTAGAGAGATCAAAGTTTTAGCTTAGCACGAACTAGTTATAAGATTAGATTATTAGAAACTTGGAGATTTTCCTAATAATCCAAAGGTAAATTTCATAGAGTTCCAGGTCACTGTGCTAGCAACTAAAACGGAGCATATAAGACATTAGAGAATAAATGAAATAGATTTGTTGGTTAGTCATACAAAGGGATAGAGGAGGCAAAAGTGACCACAGAAAATTAGAACCAGAGAAAAAGAAGGGTGAAGGGCCTGCCTTGACAGTTACAGAAAAGTCGGGAAAGGAAGATGGTGGTAGGAATTTCAGGACTTGATTGATTTTTCACCTTGTTGAATTTAAGGTGATAGAGAGATGCCCATTAGAACAGGGCGGGGAGGACCGAAGGCCATCAGCACAAAGACCCCAGTGCTACACTGGCCCAAGACCAGGGCCTGGGCTTAGCACTCCACATCGGGCCATGATAGAGAGGAGAGTGGAGAAGGGGGTGCCAGGACAGTGGGGTTCACGAGAGGTTGGGGGAACGGCAAAGAAAGCATCATTTGCCTGCATTAGTGGTCCACAGCTAGATTTCTGTGACCAGACTCCATGTGGCTGTTCTGCAGGTAACCAGCCTGTGTTTCAATCCCGCAGGTGGTACTGGAATGCTACGTAAGAAAGGACTTGGTCTACACCAAAGCCAACCCGACATTTCATCATTGGAAGGTGGATAACAGGAAGTTTGGACTGACTTTCCAAAGCCCTGCTGATGCGCGAGCCTTTGACAGGGGAGTGAGGAAAGCGATCGAAGACCTTATAGAAGGTACTGGATTTGTCGCTGTGCTCTTAGTGGGGCTCTGGGAATGCTCCGGATTCTTTTTTAATTCCATTCATCTGCCATCGTGTATTTGTGGTTTCTTGGGGGAGGGACAGGCAGCATAGATGCCCAAGCATTCAGAACATCTGAGAGAATTAAAGTTGCAGTGTGGAGAGAAAGAGGATGGACTTTATAGTTAAAGAGGGTTCCAAGTGGCCTTTAGACAGCTCTGAAAAGACAGACGATCCCAGATTTGTGTATTGTATATTGATTTCATATTTGTACATTGATTTCATTGTATACTGATTCCGGATTTGTATATTACATATTGATTTCACCTTGTCTTAATTGGACTGGCTCTGGTCTGGTCTGTCTCAGCTCAGAAGCAGAGGATGGACTCTGCGACTGCTGGGAGATCAGAGCCCAGAGTACACAGGGAAGGAATCTGCTGCCCCAGGCACCCTGGTTTACTGTGGGCCATGCTCTGTAGTGAGCCCTGGGCATTGTTAGCATCTGAGCTAGCTTGGAAGGGCCTTGGGTCATTATGAGTCCTCGTGGTGAGCTTGGCTGCAGTTCACAGGTGGAAGAGCCAAAGCAGAGGGTTAAAGGTGCCATGACTAGCTGGGCACTGTGTGTACACCTGTAATCTGAGCACTGGGGAGGCTGAAGCAGGAGGATTACCTGAGTTTGAGGCCAGCCTGGGCTACATAGTGAGTTCAGGGGCAACCTGGACTACAAAGTGAGACCCTGTGTCGGAGAAAAGGAAGAAAGAAAGAAAATCTTCTTGCCCATTTCCTAGTGTGTTTAGCATGAGGCTCCCATGATCTGGGGTTTAGAGTACAGCCTCTGAATTCAGAACGGGAGGGGAAAGGCAGCGAAGCTGAGCCCAGTTCCACGGTAAGCCCATGACTGGTCTGCCTGAGCAGTCCAGAGCTTTTCCTCCTGCATAGCTGCAGCTGCCCAATCACTTTGGAGCATGGGTGTGCACATGATGTGTGCCCCTCTGAGAGTGGGCAGGATCTCCCTCTGCCCTTATCCCTTTCTGTATGCAGCTTCTTTGGTGGTCAGTGCAGAAGCAGGAGAGATTCATCAGGAACATTGGTAGGCAAAATTAATTTCAGGAGCATCCTGACAAGAGTTAATAATGAATAAATAAAAAGTACTTAATTCCCAGGTAACATCTGTCCGCAGGCAAAAGCATTGGAACGTGGCTTCATTACAATAGGCTCTTTGGATGATTGGGTCTGACATCCATGGGAGACACATTCTTACTACGGTTTTGTCTTTTTAGGCTCAACGACTTCATCTTCCACCATCCATAATGAAGCTGAGCTTGGAGACGATGACGTTTTCACAGTAAGTGACCTTCGCCCTCTGCTTTCCACATGAGGTGGTGAGTTAGCAGAAGTTCTCACGAGGGTGTGAGAGACGCGTCACAATGTGGCTCTGGTTGTAGCTGTGTGGATGCCGTCAGAGACACCGACCGTTCCCCAGTTCTTGTGTGCTGGGCTTCCTCACACTGTGTGGGTACCATCTGCCTTGAGGCACAGCAGTGTGAACTCTCGGACCCGTCCACAGTTCATTCAAACTCGGATTCAGAGTGATTTATGCCTCTGCTTGCCTGGGAGGGCCCAGTGTTAGAGCCTGGAATCCCTGGTCCTGGGAAACACCTCATCTGTCCCAAGCACACCAGACATTTGGTCACCCTGCGCGGAGTCTTGTGCTAACACCCTGCCTAGCTTGCAGAGAAGCCAGAAGTCCTCTTCCTGATGAGCAGTCAAGTGTCTGATAAGGGAGGCCCAGAGGCTGTGTTGGGTTAGGGCTCAGTGTGCTCAGGAAGCAACGGGCTTGGATGTTTTGACACAGCTTGAGTTAATGGGAAATAACTGGAGACCAAATCATTTCTCAGCTTGCTTCTTCATTTAAACCCTGTGCCTCTAGTAGTTAATTAAGAAACAGTTCACTGCCTGCCTGTTGCGTGCCTGAAGCAGCAAGTGGCTGTCAGGCAGCATTTGCAAACCAAGGGCTTTGACCTGTAATAAGACAGCATTTATGTGACACATGTGAATTGACTCCTAAAAGAAAATCGTATTTCATGAAACTTGGCATGCACATTTTTTTTGTTTTGTTTTCATTTTCTTTTGTGTTCTGGTTATGAAACTTTCCAGAAAAAAAGTAAGTAATGTACTGAATACCTGGTATGTGTTTCTAGATTCAGCAGTTGTAACACTGACACATTTGCCTACTTCATGCCAATACATATAATTAAACACATACATAGGACACTCCCTGCCCATAAACACACATTTTTTTTGCTGATCCATTTGAAACTAAATTTCCCCTAATTCTGTGTCATGTATTTCCTTGTAGAAAAGGCATTTACAGAAGAATTTTAGGGTAGTGAAACTACTCACTATGGTACTATAATGGTAAATACAAGTCGTTTTATACTTGTACAAACCTAGAGACTATACAGCTCCAAGTATGAACTCTAATGTACTTGCAGACTTTGGCTGATGAGATGTCAGGGAAGTTCACTGATGGTAACAGTTGTATACTTTGGTGCCTGATGCTTAATAGGGAAGGGAAATCTGTACCGTCCACTTCCGATTTTGCTATGAACTCAAAAAATAAAATGTGATAGATAATTTTAAAAAAAAGTCATTCCCCTGTACAACTTTTCTGCCCCTAACAAAATTAATAAGAATTCCATGTCCTCTAATACCTATTTCATGATTACCCAGTTTTCCCAAGACTGTCTTGTAAGCTAGTATTTGTTTCCTGCAGTATTGTAAAATATTGAGTGCTTCCCCTTGTACGCGTTTCCCAGTTCACCCATCATTTGTCCTAGTGATATGAAGCACACTACTTTGGGAAAAGCAAGGTGTACAAGCTGTGGCTCCAGCCTTGCAAGCAGCAGTAGGATTGTTTGCAGAGATGAGCTGGACTCTCGAGGGGCCTACAGACTGCAGCCTAGGGGAAGTCGTTTGGCCTAGAGACGAGGGAAGGAGCTCTAGGAGGTGAGGCTGGCTGGGACTGGGCATTTGAGCTGTGTTCTGGTAGGGCCTTAAGATTAGGGAGCACAAGGACACCGCAGGGGTGTGGGTGGTAATTTGCCTGGGTGCTGCCCAGCCCAGCCAGTGCAGGGGCTGCAGGAAATGGACTGGGCTGGCCTTCCCTGGAGCCTGGTGCTGTGTGGGTCTGAGCAGGCTTCCTCTGTGCTCCAAGCAGATCCTCTCAACAGTTGGCATGTTGCTTACATCTGTTCCTTTGTCACGTTTCAGGAGACAAACAACAGCAGGCGGGTTAAAAGGTGGCTTCCTGTGCTCCAGAGCAGAACTGTCATTCGCAGCTGCTTCCCAGCTACCTGCCAGAAGTGATTTATAGAATCAGGAGAGGGCGAGAGGGGAAGGAATGATGGAAGCCAGAATCCCTCCAAGTTTTGTCCTTTAGGGTAAGGCAGAATGCCTGAAAGAAAGTTTAGAAACAGAAACTGATGTGTATGGTCAGTTGCCCTCAGTTCCATTTGTTTACAAACAAGTACCTATTAATACTGGTACCTTCCTTCCCCAGGAAAAGCCCTCCTTAGGTTGTTGGCTGTTAGGAACACGCCCCTTAGAGAAAATGGGGGAGGTGAAGTCATGAGTTCAATTCCCAGCACCAAGAAAAACAAAAGAAAACAAAACAAAACAGAAAAAATGGGGGAGGGAGGTTACCTGCCAGATTTCCATTTGTTCGTAAGCTCCTTGCTAGTAAACTGTCTTCCCAAGGTTGTAAATAAGTCTGAAACTCAGAGCCAAGGAAATGAGCAACTACTTTATCTCCTGTGTGTAGTCTATCGCTTCCCAGGTTTTGTTGTATTCTGAAACTTACTGGGAAGACAGATGTTTAGAATTAGGAACTCATTTATCAAAGAAGGGCTATAAATAGTGGTTAAGACCCTCCTGCAACTTAAGATGGACCAGAATTACCATCATGTTCCAAGAGAACAGCACATGTATGGGAAAACCCGTGAGAAACCATGGCCGTGCTGTACCTTTTCTGTTTGTCACCAGAGCCATCTCCTGTTTCAGGAGATGCCGTGGAACCAGGGGGAAAACAGGATAGTATGGGTAGCATGTGGATGCGTGAGAGCACGTGCTCCTTAGTGTGTGACACTGGGGAGTGCTGTGGTTTGAGGGTGCCCCCAGGGGGTCCTGTGTTGAAAGCGTGGTTCCCACGGTGGCAGTGTTGAGATGGCAGAACCTTTCAGAGGCAGAGCCTGGCGACCAGAGGGTTTGAGTCATGGAGTGGGGCAGGCGGCACTGTGCTCACAAGAGATTAACACAGTTCTCCTGTGGGCCCTAGTTCATTTTTAAGATGCAGTTGTTTGTGTGGCCTTCCCCTTTCACTGTGTTAGCTGCTGCTTTTGCCTGGCCTCTGCACTGTGATGCCATCTGCAGCAAGGCCTTCACCAGAGCCAAGCTGATGTCAGGCCTGTGCCCTTGAGCCCATGGAACTAGGAGCTAAACAAACCTCTTGTCTTTAGAAAGGGTCGGGCATGGGGTAGTCACTTTAATAATGAAAATCACTACTAGTGGGACCGGCCCCAGGGGAAGAGGGTACCCTTCCCTGGCTGCCCCACGGAGTGGTTACATGGACTCTGAAGCTCTAGGTTTGCACTGCCCATGCACACACCTTCCCAGTCCTCACGGTCTTTGCCGACTCAGCTCATCGTCCTGACTTCTTAAGCAAGCTGCATTCCCAGAGGAAAACGCCTGCCTGTGCACACTGGTGTACCAGCTGCCAGCTCTTCCTCTGAGCCTCTAGGCCTGTTTGCCACATTGCACTGCCCCGGATTGGAGCCTGTCTGTGTCTGTCTTAGCCAGAGCTGCTGCCAGAAATTGCTGACCATTGACTGCTCTGTCTGAATTCAGGGCTGTTTATCCTGTGTGTTTCTTAACACCTCTCTCTCACCCAAATATAATTGTTCTTTCTCTTTTAAAATCCGACAGCGCTTTCTGTTTGATTTCCCTCTTGCCAACTGAAAGCCAGCCCTTTCCTCTTTCATATTTTGTTTGCTGAATGAGTAGATATTCATCTAGCAGGCCACAAGTGTGCTTTGTGTCACTGCAGTCTCTGTAAGGCTGGTAAAGCTCCCCTCTGTAGGTGTTTAGTGAATGGGACGTGAACCCCAGACTGAGTGTGTCCCAATCAAAGTTGTCATATTTTGTTTATTTGCCCTATTTTTACCTACAGGTACAGCATAAAGATGGGTAGTTTTGAAGGGTTTTTGTTCTTTTGTTTTGCTTTGCTTTTTGCAATGCTGGGGATTGACCCTAATAGCTTCATACCAAGATTATTTACATCCCGGCCTTTTTTATTTACCTACTTTTTATTTTGACACAGGGTCTTTCTAAGTCACCTAGGCTGGGCTCACCCTTGGAACCTTCAACCAGTCAGTGCTGGGATAGTAGGCAAGTGATGTACATTTTATCTAAACAGCTTTCCAGGTTCCTGTTGGTGAAGTTTGGCCCATTAAAACCCAGTGATTTAATGACTGGTGCAGAATCTTTAAAATCTTTTAAGATTAGCATCTTTGGAGCTACATGAGGGTAATCTTTCAGTGCTCTCGGGAGGATGCAGCTGCAGTGCTGTGTACTCAGGGAACAGGCTATTCCAGGATCTGTAGTCAAGTGTCGTTGATGCTTCTGCTTTCCCCAGGCCCAGGGGCTGGACTCCGGCTCTCAAGCGAGGGGATTAGCAAAATATCTGCTTTATAGGAGGATACTTGAGTGTATAGCTAAGTCTTCAGTTCTGCAATAAGGTGCCTCAAATAATGTCTAAAGCAGGAAATACTAATTGTACAACTAAGGCATTTTAAAAATAGAGACAAATACCAGAAGAAAGAACCACAAAAATGGAAAGTAAATTTCTCTGGGTAATGAGAAGCTGAGGCAGGGAGGATTGTGGCAGAGGATTGCTGTTTGATGAGGTTTTTTCCTTCTTTTTTTTTCTTTCCCCTCAGTAATAGGCATTGAATCCAGGATCTTCACAATGAGCTGTATTCCTGCTTTTCCTCCTCTCTCTCTTTCCCTCTGTCTCTCTCTCTCTTTCTCTTTTCCTCTCCCTCTCCCTCTCCTTCTCCCTCCTTCTCTTTCTTTGTGTTTGCCTAAATCTGTGGGTTGCCCAAGCTGAGCTTGAACTGGTGATCCTCCTGCCTCAGCCTTCCAAGTGCTGGATGATTACACTTGTGCACCACTGCATCTGGGTGCTATTTAAAATCCTATACTATGGGTATACTGTTGCTGTTAAGAAGAAAAAAAAAAAATAAGGAAAAATGAGAAGAGTTTTCCCAGAATGAGGGCTAAGGGAGA